AAAAAACATTTAGTCCATAGTAAGCAGAGGTTGTAGCGCATATGTGCTCACATTCACTGTTACATTTAATTAACAAGCAGTCTGTCGGCTGAGATAGCTCCGCTGTTAGCAATGCACATTGCAATTAAAGAACAGAAGATATCATTAGAAAATGAACAATATGTATAGTATCAAAGCAACAGGACTTGCTGTTTTCAACAAGAATTCAAAAATATCACTTTTCACCAAAAATAATCATCAAAATTAGATAATTGAAGATATCACCACAAAATTTACAAATCTAAGAGAGGTCCACATGTACATGTAGTACCACTTTTTACCAAAAATGACAAAAATATTCACCAAAATTAGAGAATTAAAGATATCATTACAAAATGAACAAATCTGAAATAGGTCCACATGTAGTACCTATATATGTAATATCAAAGCAATTGGACTTGCGGTTTTTAACAAGAAGTCGAAAATATCACTTTTTACCAAAAATGACAAAAATATTCACCAAAATTAGAGAATTGAAGATATCATCATGAAATGAACAAATCTGAGAGAGGTCTACCCAAGGTACATATACACCAAGTATCAAAGCATTCAGGCTTCTAGTTTTCAAGAAGAAGTCGAAAAAGTAAAACATTGACACGGATGACGACGGACAATCACTCATATGATCACTCAACAGTTTGTTTCCACTCTACAAAGTTGTCAAATTAATATTCACAGGATTCTGCAAAAATAAAATATTAAGAATGTGCAAAAAGCCAGAGCACTTGTGTTTTCATTGTCATTAAAATCTGACCAGGGATATGCAGAAAATTTCACTTGAGTTGAACCAAATGGATGCCAAGCTACATGTATCAAAAGAAATAAAAAAATACTATTGAGAAAAATACAAAAAAATACATTTAAGGTAGAGATGCAGTTTATTTGGCTTGCTTTTTAATTGAGTAATTAGACAATGAAGATGGTATTATATATCCAACATGTTATATATTTTCTGAAAGCTTATTATACAAACTTTGTAAAACTTGTCTTTATTTTAAATATCCAGAATGCGTTTTTGATTTTGGGTCAAAAATATGCTTTTTTGGACAAAAGTGGTTTAAAAAAAATTAGCTTAAAAACTTCAAGTCCATTTGTGGGTAAAATTACATCACTGGATACCTTGGTATACTACTAATTCAAATGCGTCCACTCATCTCTCTAACGACTTTCAAAGTCGCACAGCATGACCTCAAAGTTCACTCTTTTCTATTTTTGCATAATTTATATATCCATGTTAATTGCGGACTTGTTATTTTTGTTCCACTCGCCGTAATAAACTGTCCGGACGCATTTTGAAGGGGGAACACCTTGTCAATAATGTGTGAAAATTTCGAGGCAAATGGCCAAAGCGTCTATCAGCTATTTTAATTTAAAACCCAAGAATTCACCAAAAATAGAAGACGAGAAAAAGGCTAATTTGCATATTTGCGCGTTAAACCGAGATTTACTGCTTTGTCATACTTTCTAGACTATTGAAATTGAAAGTTGACGTATAGACATAGACATTTTATGTAAAATCGTTGGACCAGAACAACTGCTCTTGAATATATAAATCAGAAACGCGTCATTCATACCAGTGTTTTGATGGGGTCGGTAAAAACACGTGGCAATGCCCAGTAAATATGACGTCATCTCATGAATTATTAAACAGGGGGCGGTCCTAGGAAGGTGACCTTTTATCACGATCAAAACATGGCTTCTCTTCGATGTATTTTCAATAAAAAATCTACGAGTATTTCAGAGCCTATGGTTTACCGTGAAGAGTACAAAGTGGGATATTAAATTATTTATCCTTGATGATTTTTATGTAGTATTGAGAACCAACTCCAGGAAGCGAACGCACAATAATGAATAATCGCGTAATCCTAGAATCGAAACGCGAGGCACAGAAGTTTTGTTCATCGTTTCCAATCCCATTTTTCCCACTGCAACATATTTGTTAAAAGAAATATTTGAATTATGTTCGTTTTTT